ATTAATCGAATGAGAATCGAAATGCATTTATTCACTGAGAAACAATATGTATTTCAAATGACAGAAGTATTGTGATTTTTTTTTTAGGTTTGATTTTCAAAGAAATAATATAGTAGTAGTAGCAGCAAATAAGAACAATGTGCATCAATATCATTATAAAATCTTAACATTGTCTATTGTTTTAGAAAAATAATAAATATTTAGGCTATAGTCCAGCTAGAAATATTAAGACACTATACGTGTATGTTAAAATATGTAATAGATATTTCCAACTTACAAAGATACGTCTTCATTATTCAGTTCATGTTAATCAACCAATAATGTTACCCTCCTCATTTCTAATGTCTGACCACTATGGTTTTTTATAGTTCTCTATTCTTTGCTGCTTGCACCAGTTTTCCTAATTAAAGGTTATCATACTCAATCCAGTTTTTAATGTTATTGAACCAAGGGAGCTAGAAAATCTGCCAATCTTCCCTCAGATCTGTAATTATATGTTGAAAGTGAGGCATTTTATGTTCCTTTCATATGTTCAGTAGTTGTCTTTTTCGCTTTCAGATTTTCCAATACTTTTTCTTACATAGTTTTTCTTTCTATGTAGCTGATATTTGTCATTCTTCTGTAATTTCAAATTTCGAATTCTTTCAGCTGTTGTTTTATTTCAGAAGACAAGGTCCACATTTCCATCATAAGTACTTAACATTTTAATAGTTTTGTTAGCTTTATTCTGAGTCAATAGTATTTATTTTTATCAACAAGTCTATCAAGTAACCGTTGTATCTCAGATTCCTCAGATTCACCCATAAGTATTGTATCATTCTCATACCTATTATTATAGATTCTACTTCCCTCAACCTTGAACCATTGTGCATACAAATTATATAATGTTATTGAGAGCACAAATAATTATCGTATGCCCTTACCGCAAAAAACTAGTCCATTTTAACTGTGACAAAATCGTCATTTTACCTTGTTTCAACATATGACATAAAGCGGTGCAATATATATTTAAGCTGCTACTTGATGTTAAAGATTAAAAATATGTCTATTTGCTAATAAGGTATGTTTAATTGAGACATTTATTGGGTTAGTTATGTTCTAATAAGGTATATGTTATTTTATTACGTCATATTACGTGTAGAAGAAAGGTATGTTTAATTGAGACATTTATTGGGTTAGTTATGTTCTAATAAGGTATATGTTATTTTATTACGTCATATTACGTGTAGAAGAAATACACTTTAAGTACCGATGTAACAAATATATATTTTATGAAAGGTTAGGTAAAACAAGATATATACATTGGGTCGGATTACTTTTACATAATACATGCATTATATCCTAGTAGTTTTGGCTAAACCAAATGCTGGTTGAAAAACAAGGCGCATTTATTATTTTCTTGCATATGTATTTTTAGCAAACGATAGCTAAGAATAGTTCTGAACAATGAAAAGCTCCATTTTAACTCTATAGTACCCAGATGAGTACATACTGACCCAGAAGTAAAACTACATTATTGAATGAAGATAAACAATTACTAATTAAGTGCCAAAAACAAAAACTTGCAGTCGTTCTCATACACGTTTTTTTTAGCATCACATAACATAATGTTTAGGGACAACAAGGGATCTGTTGGTCCATCTTGGCTATCCCGTCATATAAACTAAACTAAAACTATTAAATAAATAAATAAAAATCTCAAAACAAGTATTTATCATTCACATAGTTATCAGGCTTTTTCTTAAACTTCTTTAATTTACTGCCTCCACAACATCCGAAGGCAACCCATTCTAGAGGTCAACCTTCTTGTTAGAAAAATATAACTATCTTAGCTGAAGATGACTTCTACCCTGTCAAAATTTGTATTTGTTCCCCTAGTCCTTCTATTCGTGCCGTTAAGTATGAAAAAAAGATGATGTATCAACACTATTAATTCCCTTTAGAATTTTAAACACCTGAATCAGATCCTCTCTAACTCTTCTTTTTTCAAGAGAAAATTTCATCGATCTTAACCTTTCCTCGTATGACAACCCCTCCATCCTAGGCACCATTCTAGTAACCCTCCTCTGAACCATTTCCAACAATTCAATGTCCTTCTTAAGGTAAGGAGCTCAAGACTGAACACAATACTTCAAATGTGACCTAACTAGTGACCTTTACAATGAAAGTATAGCCTATTTCTACTTATATTCAATATTTCTGTAGATACAACCTAAAATCCTATTTGCCCTACCACTAGCAACAGCAAACTGTTTGGATGGCTTTAGAGACTGATCAAATATTACACCAAGAACCTTTTCTTTTATGACACTGATAAGGTTATTCCCATCCAAATTATACCTATAATTCAAATTATGATAATCCACATGTATTATATTGTATTTATTATAATTAAAACCTATTTGCCATTTATTTGCCCAACTCACTAAATGATCAAAATCCTCTTGTAAGTTAGCAGCACCCTCTTCACAGTCAGCAACACCCAAGACATTAATATCATCAGCAAATTGAAGTAATTCGTTGACCATTCCTTTATCTCTGTCATTGACATAAATCAAAAAAGAGCAAAGGTCCTAAGACTGTGCTCTGAGGTACCCCACTTGTGACATTAATCTAGTTTGACTGAACTCCATTTATAACAACCCCTGCTTTCTTCCATCTATCCACTATTCTACCCAATTAGCTAACTTATCCCCACACCTAATTTTTATGTGGCAACTTTTATATGTCAGAGTGTTAATATGGTCAATAAAACGTTTTACTTATTCAACTTTATTTACAAAGTTTTTTCCAATCGAAAATGTTATATTTTGGGTTTACTTCACTGCGCTCCGAACGATTTGTTATTGTTAAGCAAAAAAGCTACACAAAGAAAACACTAGTGTTTATTTATTTCCTAATCTTCTTCTGAGCA